TAGCCATATCGTCCAGTAGTAGAGTGCGGATGCCCCGTCTAACTGCTTCCAGTTGCCTGAGAGTGCCCTCTGTTGGCACAGTTTGGTGTTTTTGTTCAAGGGATCTCAGTTGTCCCAGTAAACTCTCCAGCTTCTGGTGCTTCATTTTCTTTCTTCAGGTGGGCGGTTTGATCAAGGTCCCTCTAATGACAACTTTGTGAGCCGCCCAAATCGTGCTTGCGTTCACCTCGGGGGTGGTGTTCAATTCGAAGTAATCTGTGATTCCTTTCCTAGTCTGTTCCAATATCTCCGGATCTCGAAGCAATGACGTGTTCAGTTTCCACGTCCATGGTGAGGCAACGCATAGGTTGCCCAATGTGATAAATATATCTGCGTGGTCTGACCATGATATATTACCCACCTGTGACCCTACTGTTCGGGACATGCCCGCTGCATTAGCCAAGAAGAGGTCTATCCTCGAGTACGTTCTGTGGGGAGCTGAGTAAAATGAATAGTCTTTATCCCCTGGGTGATGAGCTCGCCATATATCTATCATTCCCGTTTCGGCTATGAAGTGTTTAAGTAGACGGTCCTGGCCGCCCCTACCCTGTGATCTAGGTATTCCCTTCCGCGAGCTCCTGTCCACAGCCGGGCACGGGGCCGCGTTGAAATTGCCCCCTATAAATAACATTCCGTGGGGCAACCCTGAGATTTTCTCCCGAAGCACTCCCCAAAACCTGGGGTCCGGATGATTCGGCGCGTCTCAGTGGTGACCTCTTGTCTGTTGCATATTCCTGCTAATGAATAGGTTAGTATAGCAGCTTGTACTGAACCTTTATATATTTGTATAGTGCCATCATATTCCTTCTGAGGGACCTTTTTTCTAAAGAAAACAATCACAGTTTTTCTAGGTTTCTATCTTAACAAATGCTTTCCATCTGCCTTATTAGTTTTGTAGCTTGCCTCTGCACTTTCTCTAGTTCTGAAATATTCTTCTTTAAAACTGGTGCCCAAAATTGCATTCTGTTTTCTAGTTTGTAATATATATATTTTTTTAATTTAATGTTATCCCTAACTCAACCCCATTTAATGTATAAGTGGCTTATAGGTTCTTAATTCCAAAAAGCATGACATTGCATTTATCTATATTGAATCTCATCTGCTGCTTGCCTGCCCAGTCTCCCAATGTATCCAAATTTCTCTTTAGAGGCGTTATTATCTATCCTACCCAGTTTTTTATCATTTGCAAACAGTGACAAATGACGTTCAATGCCTTCTTCAAAATGATTTATAAAAAGATTAAAGAGAAGTGGATCCAGGACAAAACTCTGAGACACTGTACTTACCGCTTTTGCCCAGTTTGAAAAACTTCTATTTACTTCTACTTACTGCACTTTATCTTTAAGCCAGTGTTCAAGAACAAGAATTTTAATATAGACCAACTGATTTATGTTTTAATATTAACATGTGTGTGGAACCATGTCACATGCCTTAGCAAAATCCATGTAGATCACATCTACTGGATCACCCTGATCTATATTTCTACTAACTTCTCCAAATAATGGAATTAAGTCAATTTGGCATGAACTGTCTTTAAAATCAAACTGTTTCCTGCTAATAATATTATTGTTCAAAGTGAATTATTGAATATTATTAAGTTACTCTCACAGGTCTGTAGTTTGCTGGCTGAGATTTTGAACCCTTTTAAAATATAGGCACCACATCTGTATTTCTACAATTCTCTAGTACAATTCCTGAAAGAAATGAACCGCAAAAGATTAAAAACAGTGGTATGGATATTTCTACACTAAGCACATGTGGGTGAGTACCATCAGCATGGGCGTCCGCGGGGGAAGCAAGAGGGGGCACTTGCCACCCCCTGGATTTTTCAGCTTGTTCTGCTATTTTTGGTTTGTGAGAATACACTGCAATACCGGCACCGGCCAGTAGGTGAATGTTAAAAGGCAGGAAGCTACAGCTTATCCCTGCCTCTCATGACTGAAACCGCAGGGGAGCAGCACAGAGGCAGCCTACAGAGCAGGTAAGTGAGGGATGGGGCGGCACTATTACCCCCTCACCATCACTACTCCCAGGATTAACCCCCTCACTATCACCCCCCCTCACCACCCCCAGGATTACCCCCCTCACTATTATCCCCCCTCACCACCCCAAGGATTACCCCCCCTCACTATCATCCCCCCTCACCACCCCCAGGATTACC